ACATGCATATGAGGTTATTGAAAATACCCTGGCTTGAGTCAGACACACCTTAGTCCTCAAGCTGACATCTTTGCTCTTCAATAAGTTATTAACATGCAATCATTAAAATCAGAAATATCTTTCAATTATAAATTTTGAATGGTTATAAAAAGGATTTTGACTAATTCCTTAATTTCCATATGTTCCATATCCTTGCCATTTTTCATTTAATCTTTTCTATCTGTGTTGTCATATATATCTTTCCAAACCATCTTAGCTATTTCTGGACAAAGCAAAGTATAAAATGTAGCTCCCATGATTATCCTTTAAAACATAAAATTATTCAAAGTACATTCTTGTTATCATTTTCAATTTCTTCTCTTAAATATATATTTTTTATTTTCATATGATTTAAGCACTACAGAATCCAAAACATTTCTGTTTAAAAAAATATAGGAACTGAATCCGTATGATTCTGATATACAGGACTGCTAATAAACATATCTATTTTCCTTAGGACCAATGATCCAAAAAAATGGACTGCTAGTTTTGGGCTTCTTTTAAGTGATCCAGAAACACAGAGAAGTGTCAAGGATATTATAATTCATGAAAACTACCACTACCCTGCACACGATAATGACATTGCTGTTGTGCATCTGTCTTCACCAGTATTATATACAAGCAACATACGAAGAGCATGTCTTCCAGAAACTACTTCTAAATTCCTACCCAATTCAAATGCAGTGATCACTGGATGGGGAACATTAAAGTCTGATGGTAAATTTCTAACCTTCCATTAAATGATTTGAATGTTAGGAGGATCTCTGGTAGCGTAGTGGTTACGAATCGGGCTGCGAACCTTAAGGTCAGTGGTTCGAAACTACCAGCCGCTCCGCGGGAGAAAAATGAGGCTTTCTACTCCCGTAAGGATTTACACCCTCGGAAACCCTGTACAGGGTCGCTATGGGTCGGCTCCGACTCAAAGGTACTTAACAACAACAACAACAAAAAAAAATACTCAGACCCATAACCAAATCTCAGAAACACTTTCTTTGGATAATTGTAAAGAGGATAATGTACAATAGATTAAAAATATCCTTAACAACATTCATGCAGAAGGTATACATTTCAAAAGATTTTTACCATAATTTCACTTAAAAATGGCAGCTTTACAGAAATGCATCATTTGAATAAGTAACTAATTTTCCTCCATTTCATTCACTTTTCATTCCAGAAAGATTTATTTTGTTGCAACCTTTGTAATAGTCACTGTTTTAGGTGTCTTGGATACATTAATAAAGAAAAAAATAGCCCTGGTTTTATAAAGCATACATGCTATAGAAAAAAAGAGAAACTACAGAGGATTGGGTATGTAGGGGTAGAGCAGATAGGAATGAGGACTGATTCTTTTAGTGGAGTAAAATGATAGCCTTCAGTCATGAGGTGAAGTAATACTTGAACAAAGATCATTTAGACCTTGCATCCCAATGACCTTAATAATGTAAAGATTTAGTGGCTATTTACAGTTACATATGCATTTTGAAAATGAAAAAGTAAAACTAAAATTATGTTTAAAATTTTTAAGCTACAGTAACAAAATTAGCATAAAATCTGAAAGCAATTATAATATGTGTATTTCTGGAATTTGAATTTGTCATTTTAATTTCAAAGGTATAAATGTAATAAATAAAAAAATCCAAAACAATTCAAAAGATAAAAACCTCATGACATATGTATGTACACACTAAGAATTTCCAAGTATGATCATTTTTAACAGTTTGTGTTACTAAGGAAGGAAACATAAAAGCTTGATTAAAATGTATGTTGAAAATTATTTAGAAAATATAAATATTAATAACCTAAACTAAAAGATTAATATTGACTATAGCAAAAATTTTATCATTTCTTCCTTTAGGAACAAGTCCTAATATACTCCAAAAAGGATTAGTGAAGATTATAGATAATAAGACCTGCAACAATAATATGGTTTATGGTGGTGTCATCACACCTGGAATGTTGTGTGCCGGGTTCTTGGAGGGACGAGTAGATGCCTGCCAGGTAAATCAGCCTATTCTAGCTCAGGGAATTTGTTTGTTGGTTGGTTGGTTTGTTTTCTTGTAGATTTTAATGTCCAAATAACCAGTTCAATTTTCTCAGAGGACTGACCATTGTAAAAGACTTAAATATGATTTATAGCAAAGGATTTAATTACAATTATATTGATACCCAATAGGTCTAATTAAAGTACTGAAACATTAACTCACTTGCAAAAGCGATGTATTACATTTTCAATAATTTCTCAGACCACATGTTAAACACAGCCACAAATAAAAGGAGCTCTGGAAGCGTACTCATAACAAGTAGGCCTTCTAACCTCAAGGTCAGCAGTTTGAAACTACCAGCCATTCTGAGGGAGAAAGATGAGGCTTTCTGCTCCTATAAAGATTTACAGCCTCAGAACCCCTATGCAGGGTTGCTATGAGTAGGAACTGACACCACAGCACATAACCACCACCACTACTGTTCTAAGAAGCTATGACAGGGATGAAGAGGAGATTCGACTTAAAATAAGCAATAAAAAGAAGAAATGGAAAACTGATGGCCTCAATTTGACTGACATTCTTTCACTAAGAAATACTTAACTAAGTCCAATACCAAACTTAAATGATCCTGACGCTTTTCTTAATCTGGTTCCAACATCCTAAATGTTTTATTTATTTATTTTTGCTGTTAAGCGCTGTCAAGTCGGTTCCAACTCATAGTGGCCTTATGTAGGATTTCTAAGGAGTAAATGGTGGATTTGAAACACCAACCTTGCAGTTAGAGCAGTACTTATCCTACAGCACTATACCAGGAATCCTTATTTATTTAACAACCCTAGCATCCCCAAGTGCCAGACTGATAAATAGCAATTCCTTCAATTATCATGATAATCATGTAAAACATGTTTGTATTACTATTAACCCTGTATCTCAGATGTTTTTGTTATTTTGTTATTAAGTGCCATTGAGTTGGTTCTGACCCATAGTGACCCTGTATAGGGTTTCCTAGGAGTAGCTGGTGAGCTTGAACTGCAGACCTTGCAGTTCAAACTGCTTTGCAGTCTGGCACATTAACCCACAGTGCCATACAAGGAAAAATCAAGTAACTTATCTAAATTCACACTTAAGGATTTAAATTCAGGAAATTAAGCTCTGGAATCATATTCTGAACTTCACTTATGATTTTTGTTGTGGAGGTTGTTATGTGCCATTGAATTGATTCTAACTCTTAGCAGTCCTTTATAGGATTTCTGAGAGCAGTTGGCTGCTTGCAGTTACCATATAGTGATTATCAAACAGTACTACACCAAGGCCCAATTATATTAGAATATGTTAGTAAGCATCTACTGTTGTTGCTATGTGCCGTGGAGTCGGTTCCAACTCATAACAACCCTGTACAGGGTTTCTGAGGCTGTAAATCTTTATGGGATCAGAAAGCCTCATCTTTCTCCTGCGGAACAACTGATACTTTCGAACTGCTGACCTTGCAGTTCGCAGCCTAATTCGTAACCACTACGTTACCAGAGTTCCTTAAGCAATAGTACTAGAGCTAACAAAAAAGGACTCCTAAAGATATTAACTAATATCTTTAATATCACCTGCAAGTAACACTGTGCTGAAGATAATTAAAAAACAACTACATTAGTACATCGACAAGGAGCTGCGTGAAATTCAAGACAGATTCAGAAAAAGATGTGGAACAAAAGGCATCATTGCTGATGTCAGATGGGTCTTGGTTGAAAGCAGAGAATTACAGAAAGATGTTTACTTGAGCTTTACTTACTATGCACAGGCATTCAACATTA